ACTCTAATATTTAACTTGTTTATGATAACATAATTTTTTACTCATACAAACAAATTACAAATTCAGCCAAACAAAATAATTCAACCAAAACATTTTGTTTTATTCAACTAAATCTCTCAGTGTAGATTTTAAAGTTTCTCTTAATTATTATACATAGTACATTATATTGTTTAAAGATATATTTTTTAAATTATTTTTCAATACAAATTTAAAATAATCCATAATATTTTCATAATTCTTTATTACTTTGAAAAAAGGTGTAATATATTCTTAAAAATTATAAATGTATACATATACAGGGTGAGACATCTAAAACAGGTCATCCGAATAACGTTTTTATTTTTAACAACAGAAAGAAAAATTTCAAATAAAAGTTGCTTGGTTTCGAGGAGAATATATTTTGGTCACGTTGTTTTTTTTTAGATAGAGGCGTCAAAAAAATACGAAAGTCACCATCATTTTTTAAATGAAATAATTACTATGAATTTTTTTTTAGATAATATGATTTCTCTCAATATTCTGCATATAAAAATATTGAGGTAGAGATATCAAAAAACCAATAGTTTACGAGATATTTTATACTTTATTTCGGCATATATTGATATAAAATATTAAATATTTCGTAAATTATTTATTTTTTTATAATCATACTATAATACTTTTATGAATAGAATAATAAGATGATTCAATCGGTGTAAAGAAAACATACAATTGTTTCCAAAAAATATAGAGCAAAATGGATAATTTTTAAAATAAGCAACTATATATTTTTTTTATATTAATTGATTTATCTTATTATTCTGTTCATAAAAGTATTAAAATATATTATCAAAAAATTAATACTTTACGAGATATTTAACATTTTATGTCAATATGCGCCGGAATAAAATGTAAAATATCTTGTAAACTATTAGTTTTTTGGTATCTCTATCTCAACAGTTTTATATGCAGAATAATTAGAGGAATCATATTGTTAAAAAAACATCACAATTTTATTTTTAAAAGTGGAGGTGTCCTTCATATCTTTTTGATGCCTCCATCTAGAAGAAAAACAACATGACCAAAATATATCCTCTTCAAAATCAAGTAACTTTTGTTTAAAACTTTTTTTTCTATTGTTAAGGGGATGCTGGAGTGGCCAAATTGTCGGTAATTTGCAGGTCAATTTACATCTCCGAATTTACTTAACGAAATCAAAAATCCTTTTACAGGCGTAAAATAGATGCAAAATTCTGTCGTGGTGCAATAGATTTGTACGAAAATCGGAAAAAAAATTAAAAACTTACATTTTTTCAACACGTAGAGCTGTCAACTGATGTAGATTACAAAAGTTTTATAGCTCGTATGGACCAAACGATACTCTACTACTCACTGCATAACGTGCACAAACAATACTGAGTTTACAGAACTGAGATTGAAAGCTTAGAAAAAAATATTTACATTAATTTATAAATAACGTAAATTTGCTTGTCAACGAAGACTCGAGCTGATAAACAGACCAGGAAATGTGTGTAATAGAAGTTGCTCAATTTTCTGGGAGATGGCGTTGTATTCAGACAATGTGTGGGGGGGTACGGCTACGTTAGGCGAGTATCTCTCGATCAGCAGGTTATGCAAAGTACGACGACTGTTACTGGATGAATATATCTTTTATTCTTACGACTATAATACAGCCATCTTGTCTTCTTAACTCTAGTAACTTATATCTATGTTTTTGGTTCATTTTCATGAGCGTATTAACTAGCGCCTCTGTAGGGAACCCTCGACGAGGTATTGTCGGTAACATGGACGGAAAGTGGTGATGTGTATGCCCACAGTACTCCCCCCTGAGTTTTTAAAACTAATAAAAATTTTGAAATGTAACATTCTTATATGTATGTAAAACATAATTTCGTAAAAAAAAAAATAAAGGACAAAATATGCGTGTTATGAAGTAACTATGCCTACTAAGTATGAGTAAAATATGCTGCTACTGAAAACTTACAGTCT